GTTGGCCAGGTTGAGCGTTGGAAAAATTTGGTTCAACTTTGGAATAGTTCATATTGAACTTTGGAAAAGTTCAGATTGAAATTTTGACTAGTTGAGATAGAACTTTGAAAAGGTTCAGGTTGAACTTTGGAACAGTTAAGATTGTACTTTGGAGAAGTTCAGGTTGAACTTTTGAAAACGGTTGGTTTTTTACGTTCGTTTTTACGTTTTCACGTAAAAAAAATCGTTTCTACTAAAAGACTGAGAAAGCCAACCCATAAAGCAATTCCAATCAACCAGTCGAAATCACCATTAGCGTCCAGGTTGTAGTTTGGAAAAGTTTAGGCACTTTGGAAAAGTTCAGGTTGAGCGTTGGAAAAGTTCAGATTGAACTTTGGAAAAGTCCTGTCAGATTGAAATTATGAATGAACTTTGAAAACGTTCATATTAAACTTTGGGAAAGATCAGACTTAACTTTGGAAAAGTACAGATTGAACTTTGGAAAAGTTCAGATTGAACTTTGGAAAAGTTCAGATTGAACTTTGTTATAGTTCAGATTTAAATTTGGAAAAGTTCTGATTGAACTTTGAAAAAGTTCAGATTTCGCTTTTGTAAAGTTCCAATTGAACTTTGGTAAAGTTCAAATTGAACATTGGAAAAGTTCTGATTGAACATTGGAAAAGTTCAGATTGAACTTTTGAAAACTTCAGATTGAACTGTTGAAAAGTTCATATTGAACTTTGGAACCGTTCAAATTGAACTTTGAAAAAGATCAGCTTGAACTTTGGAAAACTTCAGATTGAACTTTGGAAGAGATCATATTGAACTTTGGAAAAGTTCAAAATGAACATTGTTCAATTTCAGCGTAATTTTTGAAATGATCAGATTGAACTTTGGAAAAGTTCAGATTGAACTTTGTTATAGTTCAGATTGAAATTTGGAAAAGTTCTTATTGTACTTTGGAAAAGTTCCGATTGAAATTTTGAATGAACTTTGAAAACGTTCATATTAAACTTTGGGAAAGATCAGACTTAACTTTGGAAAAGTACAGATTGAACTTTGGAAAAGTTCAGATTGAACTTTGTTATAGTTCAGATTTAAATTTGGAAAAGTTCTGATTGAACTTTAAAAAAGTTCAGATTTCGCTTTGGTAAAGTTCCAATTGAACTTTGGAAAAGTTCAAATTGAACATTGGAAAAGTTCAGATTAAACATTGGAAAAGTTCAGATTGAACTTTTGAAAACTTCAGATTGAACTGTTGAAAAGTCCATATTGAACTTTGGAACCGTTCAAATTGAACTTTGAAAAAGATCAGATTGAACTTTGGAAAAGTTCAGATTGAACTTTGGAAGAAATCATATTGAACTTTGGAAAAGTTCAAAATGAACATTGTTCAATTTCAGCGTAATTTTTGAAATGATTAGATTGAACTTTGGAAAAGTTCAGATTGAACTTTGTTATAGTTTAGATTGAAATTTGGAAAAGTTCTTATTGTACTTTGGAAAAGTTCAGAATGCATTTTGGAAAAATTCCAATTGAATTTTGAAAATGTTCAAATTGAACTTTGGAAAAGATCAGATCGAACTTTGGAAAAGTTCAAATTGAACATAGTTAAAGTTCAGGTTGATCTAAGAAAAGATCAGATTGAACTTTGAAAAAGTTCAGATTTAACTTTGGGAAAAATCAGACTGAACTTTGGAAAAGTTCAGATTGAACTTTGTTATAGTTCAGATTGAAATTTGGAAAAGTTCTGATTGAACTTAGTAAAAGTTCAAATTGAATTTTGGAAGCGTTCAGACTGAACTTTGGGAAAGATCTGATTGAACTTTCGAAAAGTTCAAATTGAACATTATTAAAGTTCAGGTTTATATTTGAAATTATCAGATTGAACGTTGGAAAAGTTCAGGTTGTACTTTGGCACAGTTCAGATTGAGCTTTGGAAAAGTTCAGCTTGAACTTTGGAAAATTTAAGCTTGAACTTTGTTAAAGATTAAATTAAAATTTGGAAAAGTTCTGATTGAACTTGGGAAAAGTTCAGATTGAATTTTGAAAAAGTTCAGATTGAACTTTCCAAATTTCAAATCGAAGTTTGGAAAATTAATGCTTGAACTTTGGAAAAGGTTATATTGAACTTTGGAAACGTTCTGATTCAACTTTGGGAAAGATCAGACTGGACTTTGGAAAAGTTCAGATTGAACTTTGTTATAGTTTAGATTGAAATTTGGAAAAGTTCTGATTGAACTTTGAAAAAGTTCAGATTGTACTTGGAAAAGTTCCAATTGAATTTTGGAATTCAAATTGAACTTTGGAATAGATCAGATTGAACTTTGGAAAAGTTCAAATTGAACATTGTTAAAGTTCAGGTTGATCTATGAAATGATCGATTGAACTTTGGAAAAGTTCAGGTTGTACTTTGGCAAGGTTCAGATTAAAATTTTGAAAAGTTCTGATTGAACTTTTGAAAAGCTCCAATTGAATTTTGGAAAAGTTCAAACTGAGCTTTAAAATATTTTACATTGAACTTTGTAATAGTTCTGATTGCTTTTTGGAAAAGATCAGATTGAACATTTTAGAGATGAACTAGCCTAAGGCTAAAAATCTCTTAAATAAAGAATTAAAAAAAAAAAAAAAAGATTGAACATTTTTGAAAAGCTTAGATTGACTTTTATAAAAGTTTGGATTAAACTACGGAGAAGTGCAGATTGAACTTTTGAAAAGCTTAGATTGAACATTGGAAAAGTTCAAGTTACTTTGTAAAAGTTCAGGTTGAACTTTGGAAAAGTTCAGATTGAACTTTGGAAAAGTTCAAGTTACTTTGGAAAAGTTCAGGTTGAACTTTGAAAAAGTTCAGGTTGAACTTTGGAAAAGTTCACGTTGAACTTTGGAAGAGTTCAGGTTGAACTTTTCGAAAGTTCAGGTTGAGCGTTGGAAAAGTTCAGATTGAACTTTGGAAAAGTTCACATTGAACTTTTGAAAAGCTTTTATTAAACTTTCGTAAAGACTGATTAGTTTTGGAAAAGATCAGATTGTTTTTTGGAAAAGTTCAGATTGAACATTTTTGAACAGCTTAGATTGAACTTTGGAAAAGTTTAGATTAAACTATGGAGAAGTGCAGATTGAACTTTTGAAAAGCTTATATTGAACTTTGGAATAGTTCACACTGAATTTTGGAAAAGTTCAGATTGAACTTTGGAATAGTTCACATTGAACTTTGAAAAGTTCAGATTGAACTTTGGAGAAGTTGATATTGAACTTTGGAATAGTTTAGACTGAACTTTGGAAAAGTTCAGACTGAACTTTGGAAACGATCAGATTGAAATTTGGGAAAGTTCTGATTGAACTTTGGAAAAGTTCTGATTGAACTTTCGAAAAGTTCTGATTGAACTTTCGAAAAGTTCTGATTGAACTTTGAAAAAGTTCTGATTGAACTTTGGAAAAGCTCTGATTAAGTTTTGCAAAAGTTGAACTTTGGAAAAGTTCAGATTGAGCGTTGGAAAAGTTCAGATTGAATTTTGGAAAACTTCAGATTGTACTTTCTAATAGTGACTGAAAGTCTTCTATAACAAAGATAACCTAACCTAACATTGGAATAGTTCAGATTGAACTTTTGAAAAATTTTCATTGGCGATTTAAGTTATTTTGAAAAATTAGCCGTGAAATTCCATCAAAAACTTGGATCATTGCCTCTAATGAAAAATTATGCGAAGTTTCATGGAAGGAGATAAAATCTATGCCGCGGAACTGCTCATTTTGACAATGTTCAGATTGAACTTTAAAAAAGGTCAAATTAAGTTTTGGAAAAGTTTCGATTGATCTTAGGAATAGTTCAGATTGAACTTTGGATTGAGTATCAAAGATGTTCAAATTGAACTTCAGAGAACCATGAAGTCACGTCGCTTTGATGCGTCCACGGCTGACCGACCCACAAAAGTTTCTGACTCAGTCTTTGTCTCTAGGCAATTCATATTAGTGTGAACATTGAATCATTCCTGAATAATGCTATCCGTGAACGAAGCCTTAGAACCTTTTAATTCCAGAACTTGATTTGCTCTCGATTGCCACTTTTCGGCAGCAACCGCTGCTACAGCCAGCTTCCACTTCAACAACTCTTATGGGGTCTCTTCTCGTCTAATTGAAAACTCTTAAGTATGTAAGTTCTGCCCGATGGTTGCTCGGTGGTGCTTCCTAGCGGTTCAGCTGGATAAAGAGATATTTCGATTTTATACGAATTTTTCAAAGGAACTGCAATGGCAATCAAATGTTGGATCTCGATTACGTTGAAGCAAAACCGATTTATATCTCTATCGGAAATCAACCGGTATCCCCCTTCCGACGAAGCGCGGGCCCCATTATCTCTCTTGCGGCAGAGTAGTTCGTTCGTTTGTCCAGTTTCGGGCTCTGATTCATACTCGCGCTACTTAATCGCTTACCTGAAGAGCGAGCGTGTGGAGGATGACGATGACGGTCCACTCCACTCCATCGAACCGACCGCGCAAGGGTTCAGTCTTCTTGAATGAGCGCAGTATAGGCACAGGCAGGCAGGCAGCCGAACACAAAAACCGATTCACCACCACCAACGAACTGTCAAATTTCATACGAAAATATCTGCGTAGGGTTACCGGCACTCTTGACTCACCTTCGTCATCCGCGACCGCACTGGGTTTGGTAACCCGATGAATCCAGCCAGGTAAATTTCGTACCTTCACCTTTTTTCTCCCGCTCGCCATTCATCGGTTTCTTCTCACAGTGCAGTGGGCACAATGGCACAAACACAAACAGAGACCTTTGCAAACACGATTTGAGCAATCGGCTTTGCTTGCGCTTTTCGTTGCCCAGGTATCTTTCACTCACCTGCTTGCTTTGCTTCACTGTAGCGCAACCCCAAAATCAAGGTGGTATTGGTGCAATCAACAGGTCGTCGTCGTCGTCGTGGGATACCGTTTTACCGTCGCTCGCCGTCGCCAACTCCGGTTCGGTTCGATCAGTCAGTTGCAGTTCGATGGCCGTCGCGTAAACTTGTCTGGAACGTCGTAACCGTCGCGCGGAATTGATTTAGTTTTTTTTGTTTGATTCCACGGCAGATAGTTTTTTTGTTTAACCTGTTTTGTTGTGTTTGTGTTTGCAGAGTCTGTGGTGTGTGGAAAACATAGAGGTGATATTTTTTCTTATTCCCAAGTTTCGCTTCTGCATCTCTGGCAACGTGTTTGTTGCCATGGAGTCGCGTTACTTGCGCTAGATTTTTGAAACACCCCCCCCTTGTGTCCACCTTCGGTCGGTTGCCAAGAAGGGGTGGTGAGTGAAGAAGAATAAGAAGAAGCGGATCCGTGGGGAGGCTGACAGCCTCCCGATTTTGACTCGCGTGTGTTGTTGTTTGTGTTTGAACCGAGCACTAGGCAGGCAGTGAAAAGAGTTTGGCTGCTGTTGCCTTTTCTTCTTTATGTCTGCGCAAGCAAAGTCTACTGAGTAGTAGACACAGACATATTTACATCGACGGCAGCCGAGAGTAGTTTCTCCGCGGGCTTAACCTTAGGAGCTATTTGAGTAAATGTTTTAAGGCTTTTTTTTTCTCGGGATTACGACACATGCGCAGCGTGCATGTGGCATGCAACGGATAAGTCGAACAAGGCTGATTTGCGGTCTTCGGTTCCACAGTGTGTTAATTAGCTTTGTTTACACGTCAAATCGAAGTTAGTGTGCAGCTCGATGAAGCGGAAGGAATGCTCCGGAAGAATGGGTCATTCTTCGGCGCGGTGAAAACGATACTGAGGACCAAGTGTTGAGGGAGGCAGATAGAGAGAGACAGACATTCAGGACGTCGTCGTAATGCGCAAACTGGCGGAATGGAAGTGACTCCGGTGTGGCAACAACATCAACAACAACGAGCATGTTGGAACCTGTTGCCGGTGGCAGGTTAACGGTTTTGCTAGCTAGAAGGTTGCACACGTGCACAAAGCGAGAGGATGGAAGCGTGATTACCATCATTGAAGTTTGGAATGGTGCACAATAAGTGCCGAGGAAAAATCTTTCGAAGATGGATTGGGTCCGATTGCAGTTTGCGTGGAAAAACTCTGAGTTAACGGTTGGGTTGGGTTGGGTGTCGTTATTTGAGTCCTTCCATAACTGCGTTGCCGAAGAACCATTAAACTGCTAGCTAAGCTTAAAAAAGCGCTAGTTAATTGGATTATATTTGAAAATTGTCTAAAGCAAATGTCATGTAGATGTTTAAAGTTACTTAAAATTGACTAGAAAACGACTCAGTTCCTTTAAAAGTGGAACTACCCTAATTAGAGTGACTATGCTGTTTACTCTGTTTTGAGTAATGAATGTATATGACAAATTCAGAATAACTCTGAGCAACAGTTACTCAGTTTTGTTAATTTGTCTTTTATCAGAATGGTGGAATCAGACATCACTTCAGAAACAAATTTGTCTTGTTTATTGATGGAAAATTAAGTAATTTGCACTTGAAGCATAACTTTACTATAAATGAGCTGGATCTGTCAGGTACAAATCTGAGTCTTCATGTGCCGAAACTGTTATTCTGGTACCTGTCGGCACTTTAGAAACTTTCCGGAAGGAGCAAGCACCTCACGGATCACTCTGACACTCTGACAGATAATGTATGTTTATGCTGATATCATTTTTAATTTATTGATGAATATGAGACTACTTAGATCACTTTTGAGTTAATATGAGTTCCTCAAATTTACTCGCTGTGAAAATATTAACTCTAAGTACAGCCGTCTTGCCCCAATATTAAAACTTTTAAAAATCGAAATTGTAATTTTTAACATTTTCACAAGAACGTCAACGACGCAGCAAATCAAAGACACGTCATTTTCGCAGCGCGGCCTTCTTCGAGCCGTTTGAAATCGGCCTTAAGTTTCATCAAAATCGACCACTTCAATAACTGTCAAGAAATTTCCTGTGAGCATGTCATCACGGAAGGTAAAGCTGATTGACATTCAAATCACGTGCGTCCACTTCAACGAAATCGACCGAAAGCGGTCGGTAATGAATGACTCAAATCTGTGCCAACCCCAGTTTGTTGACCAACAACAGACTCCATTCAATGGTCTACCACCGACCAAATTTGGATGCTGCCGCTACTGATGCAAAACAGCATTATTTTCTGTCATTTTGATGTTGTTGTTGACGATCAGGTCAGTTGCACATTCCGTGAGCGAATGGTAAAGGGTGGAGTTTTTTTTGTATTCTAAGTAGGCACAAATGGCAATTTTCCCACACATCAAACCATGCGGAACCGATAATTAGTTACGCACACCGCCGCCGCCGCCGCTGCAGCGGTGGCATGATTGACATTTATGTCCAGAAATTCCCATGAATGCAAACTGCGCTGGACAGCTGGAATATTTTCAAATTCTGCCTCACGCCCCGTTGCACCCGTCGTCGGTCGTGATGAATTCAGCAAGGGGGTACCTACTAGATTCCCACGCTTCCTTCCGGCTTCCGTTGTTGGTTGGTGGGGGAATTTCGTTCAGTGTGCGTGCACCTGAGTGTTGCAGACATGGGCTCAAGCAGGGGGTGGGACACCTCTGCTGAATGTATCAACATATTATTTGATATTTTCATTTTCTTGGCTTAGACTTGGAGACAAAAGCGTCTGTAGAACAAACACTGTTCAGAGCAGAAAGCTTTATCTTTTACATGTACCGTGGACCGTGCATATTGTCGCTGTTCATTTTTAATTTGTAGTTCTAGTGTCCCCATGACCAGCGGTAACCTTATTTGGTGTTTTGTTTTGATTCTGGGTTTCATTTCGATTTACTCTATTCCATATGCTAGATGACCTTTGAGAAATTTTCAATTTGCACGGCGTGCAGATTAGCGGGGTTCAAACTAAAAAGAGTTCAGATTACCGCGGGTCCATGGTATTAGTTTTTGAAAGTACTTAAATATTTTCGTTGATATTTAGAAAAATTTGATGATTTTTTTCAAATATATCTAGCGATCAGAATCATAAGGGCCTAACTTCATCGATTTTATCCTTTGTTAATAACTCGGCTGGATTAACATTTATCGGTGCGCTTGATGTTGCATTTGCAAGCTAATCGAAAAGTTGGTCACTCCGCACAGTGTGCCGAAACACAACTAGAGCAATCAATAAAGTTACTGGCAACACTAGACTATCTCTGCCTCTGTGCAGTGCGTATGCGTCAAAATTAAATTGATTCATTGTTGTTGATATTTCAATTTTTGGTAAGCCTATCGCCCAGGCGCCGGACTCGGGAGTGTTAGGAAAATTGTGCCACCTAAGAATCAGCTGCCGCTACAGTACCGGACATTTCCGACACCCAGGAAGCGAAAGAGGATTCGACTAATAAGGCAGAAATAGTCGAACATTTGCACGCTTTTGCTTGCTTAATTTAAGGCCCAAGCGCAATGAAAGTGGAAGCGGAAAAGCCCGATCTTAGTAAGCCTACTTGTCGGATTGAAAACAAGTTAGAACCAAATCGACTTCGGTTTGGCATCTTGATGTCATTTGTTACAACTGTCAAACTTACCGTTTCCATCCCGCTTCCGCCCATATTTCGCTTGGGCCTTTTTTCCAACTGCAATGATATTTGTTCTGTGTACGTGTGAAAAAGCGCTGATGGATTATTATAAAGACTATACTCGAAAAAAAAATGCGACAGACAAAAATGATCACCGAAAATTCATTTTAAGTCGGAATTTTTGGAACTCGTTGGGAATAAATAAACACATATTAGCTATGTTTTTGCCAAGTTGGTTTATTCAACCTCCTCTCCTAGGCTAAATTCCCGAAACTTGGGTTTAACGCTACCCATCATATCCCGTGCAAAACTTGTGCCATCTTTCTGATGCACTTTTATCCACTCTTTCTTCAAATCCTTGTAGTTTTTGAAGACCTTCCCTGTTTTTCGGAGCTTGCCTTTCATAATTGGCTAAGTTCTGGCGAGTTCCGTGCCACTCCATCACCGGTTTCGCGTAATGGCACGATGCCAAATTCGGCCAAAACAGAGTGTCAGCTTCGTGGGACCGGAGGAAGGACAGCAGGCGCTTCTGGAGGCATTCTTGTTTATATATTTGAACGTTGATGGTGCCTGTCGTTATGTACGGCTTGCTGAATTTGCCGCACCCACAGATCGCCTGTTACACTAAGTACTTCTTGGCAAATTTGTCGACCTTCTTCTTCCGGAACATCCAAGTGGGACTTGCCGACGAAAAACTCCAGGTCGGGGATCTACTTGGCTTCCGCTTTAATGTACCTCTCGTCGTCCATTACGATGCATTTCGGCTGCACCAACCACCGTATTCTGTTTATCGGTTCAGTTAGGCGCCTTCCTTACCTTGAAGACATGAAGTCCGTCCCGCTTCATTGTCTGCTGGACGAACCAGACGGAAGAATTGACCTTCTTGACCTCGTCCCGAATCGAAAGGTTCGAATTGCGCTTGAAGTAATCCCTCACCTTCCTTGCGTTCACGGAGTCGGTCGTCTTCGCTTTTCTTCCGCTGCCAGCTCGCCGCTGGGTCGTCTGGTTCTCCTTGAACGATTTCACCACACTGGACACGGTCAATTCCAAACTGTTTCGCGATCCACCTGTGGGACTGGCCTGGATTTTCCACGAAGTACTGGATTTTCCGCGATGACTTGGAAGCCATCTCGATAACCACTTGACAGATCGTAATGCGATTTTGCACATTACACCCTAAACTAGTTTTACTCTAAATTGCATCAATGTTTACCCTTGCAATAAAACGTTATACACAAAAGAAAGTGTTGCATTTTTTTATTTCGAGTGCAATCTTTAGTACTTAGAGGTAATAAATTACTGCTTCTGCTATAAGCAATTAGTTGGTCTTATTTGTTTTAGCATTCGGTAACCTAACACATGAATGTTTCTGATTGATCGCGCCTCTCCTGGTTGTTCTTCCGAACTTCCTCAGGGATCTTGCTCTCATAGTCGGCCTCTTCCATGAAACTCTCCATCGTGTCCTTGGTGGCATCGTTGCTGGCCAGGACGAACGCTTCCGTCTTTACCACGTTCGATCAGTTTTAGCCGCTTCGGGACGACCGCAGTTGCATGATTCCAGTTCCGGGGTACCTGCTCCACATTGGCATACGGTACTCTCTAGTGCAGCTCCTCAGTGATAAAATGCATGCAGGGC